AGCCTAAACTTCTCTCTTTCAGAAAACTCGTACCTTGATAGAGGTTGATAAATGATTATTTATTAGTAAAAACTCAATGAAATATTTTGACCTTGACAGTTAACTTCTCCTCCTCAAGCCCTACTAGGATCAGGAGCTCAAGGGCTTTGAGGAAGCAAATATGTGAATTTAAAAAATCATATTAAAGTCTATAATTCTTAATATAATTTCATTATTCAATTCCTAAAATAATCCAGAGATAATGTTAGAAAAAATTTAATAGTGTCATCTCGCCAATTAATGGGAAGAAGGCGTTCAGATAATTTGCCTAAGAATAAGAGGAATCCTAATCCTCAATGTCCTGGTTTGTTATTCTTTTTTTTTTTTCTGATTTGTTATTCTTAGTCCGACTACCATTCAGATTATAAACTGGGCAAATAAATCATGATGACAATATCTACTGTGATGTGAATTAAATGCAATAGTGTAAGTAGACATTAAAAAAATTATATTCAGTCCTGACCGGGTGGCTCGATAGATTCTACCTCATATCAATTTCTCTCTCTTTCTCTTCCTCTCTCTCTAAAAATCAATAAAAACATATCCTCAGGTGAGGATCTAAAAAAAATAAAATATCCATTCCTATTATTACTGGACATGCTGGGCCCTTCTGAGGGTTGAAGTCCTCATCTAATCTCCATTTTTTAGAATCTCCATAAACTGGATTACCTCTTTTTTTTAAATAAAATATAAAATATGCTGAAAAATATATGATGAAAACATAAAAATCCAGCTTTATTTCATGTACTTCAACCCTGTCACTCTCATTTGCTTAAGCAGTGCTATCAATTCATCTGGAGAACCTTCCCTGACACTCAAGGTCAAGGCTATTTCCCACGTGTTTCCACATTATCCTCTGCTACAACAGTAAGACATTTCTCACAAGATACTGATTTTGCTGATTACTTATCTATATTACTAATTATGTACTTGAGCTTTGCCTGTCACAAAGATGGTATTCAACTACTTAAGGAACAAATAAAGGACGGATGATGAAGCACAGTGCTTTTTTTTTTTTAAATTGAGATTACTAAAACAAAGTTTTCAGATATGTTTCCACAGGTGCTTCTTAAATACAAAAATTTCAGTGTTCCTATATACTGCAACTTTAACCAAGTTATCAAACTTAGTAATTCCCATAAGGGACCTTCTGATGCCATGGTAGGTATATTTAACGATTTGCTGAACAACAGACAAATAAACCTTGTAGATGATGCCCAATAATGGAAAGGTGTTTTTTATTTTCACTCGAGGATATTTTTCCATTGATTTCTAGAGAGAGTGGAAGAGAGAGGGAAAGACAGGAATATTGATGTGAAAGAAACACATTGATTGGTTGCCTCCTGCACGCACCCGGAGCAGGGGAGAAGCCTGCAACCGAGGTATGTGTCCTTGACTGGAATTGAACCCGGGACCCTTTGAAAAGGTTTTTAAATACCATAAATACTATTTCAGTTTAGTATAAAATCACATTACCTAAATATCTGTAATGATTACTTTTCTGTCTAGAAAAGAAGAAATTAGGTGTTTCCTTAGACAACAGAAGCAGAGAGAGCTAAGAAGTTACTAACCAGCTGCGTTGCCACCTTGGAGTAGAAGCATCCCCTTCCGTCTTTTATCCCTAAACTGACCTCGCTATAATCTCTCTCTCAGCACCACATTCAAAAATCAGTCTAAACACTTTCCTGCCTTGACAAACGATAAACTTGCTGAATCCCTGGGGCCTGGTGTGTGACGTGTTGTAATCAGAAATTTTATAAAGGATGGAAAGGGAGAGCGTCTTTGAGAAAGTGATACTGGAGCAAAGACTCGAAGGAGATGAGAGAGTTGGCCCTGTGACTCTGTGCGGTGGGGTAGGAGGAGGGAGACTTTCCGTTCTCACTACAACACCCTGATATGTTTATGGCAAGATGATGAGGCTGGTGTGGTTGAAGCCAAGTGAGCAAAGGGAGGAACATAGGAAAGGAAGTCAAGAGATGATAACGCAGCTGGGTTTGGGATTCTGCTTTCATTGAGATAAGAAGTCCTTCAGATTGGATCAAAAGTATGAACTACCTGGTTTGCATTTTTAAAGGGGGATAAAATGGCTTTTGAGAATGAACCAGAGGAGTGACAGTCTGACTCACATTTCAAGAGTATCCTTCTGGCCATTATGCTGAGAATAAACTGAAGGGGACAAGGAGGAAAAAAGGAGGACAATTAAATGGCTGAACTAAAAAATAGAGAAGGGATAGTGGCTTAAATCTAGGTGGTAGTGATGAAAATACTGAGAAGTGGTCAGATGCTGGATCTCGCAGGAACACTCTTAGGACTGGGTGTGAGTATGAGTGGGGGTGGGGGATAAAATATTTGGTTTGGGGTGAAGGCACCTGGAAGGACATCACTAAGAAGGGAAGGAAGCAGGCGAGAACACCGAAAGTGTAGTTCTAGAATTGTGAACCTTACTAGAAGTCTAGGTGGACATATCAAGTCAGCAATTGAATCTATGAGTCTGGGGTTAAGAAATGGAGATAGAAATCTGGGAACCATGAGATGATGTTTAGAGCCATATGACTAGACTACATCTAGAATTATACCTCAGACCAGAGCAACTATGAGAGGCCATGGAGATGAAAAGGAACAGCAAAGGAAGCTAAGAAAGACCAGTTGCTGAAGAAGGTAAGAAACAGGAGAGAATGGTGTACTCAAGGCAAAGGGGAGAAAATGTGGCAAGAATGTGGTAAATGCAAATTGTCCATAAGTAGCTTCACTAAATGCATCCGACTCATCCTTTGGAGCAGCGTACTTTTTTGAAGAGCTGTCTCTGAGCAGGCCTGCCTTAGATAGCTGATCCTCCTCTGTGTTCCCACACCACAGTGTTGACCTCAATTATAATATTTATCACAATTAAGACGGCAGCTTCACTTCTCTGCATAAGTTCCTTAAGGGCCAGAAGCTTCCCTGTAATGTGGAATCTAGAAATATCTCTCTGGGAGACGGGGTAAGGGTGGGGGGAGGATTTATGTTTATTGAGAACTTACTGTGTAATAGGCAACTTGTCCATACCTTTACTCGGGTATTTAAAAAATGAAGGAAGTACTGAATGAACAGTAGAGGTCACATAGATAACAGATAAGGACAAATCAGTATATAGGCAGAGCCCTGGAGTGAAGACCTGTGTCTGGGGAACCACAGTTTAATAACAATAACTATCAAGATGACTCAGCTAACTCTTCTTGCTCCTTTTCCAAGATTGTCAACCAAATTCTCCAATATGATTTTGTTTCTGTTACAGATCAACTTGCAGAATTAGAGAGTGAAACTGCCAACATAAATAACTGTTCAATTTGGCTACTGTACTTGTCACTCTGAGGAGTAAATTAGTGCTTTGTTTTAGACATTAGTCTAACGAAGGTTTGGTGAGTGTGTAACTTTTTGGGCTTCTGCGTATAACCGGTCTGCTTGCATTCTGCTTTTCAAATGTCAAAATCAAGTTGTGAAATCAAAATGGGACTGACTTAGAGTATGTGATAAAAGAAATCCAGGACATACATACTGTGTGACTGACTGCTAAAGGAAAATATTGATTTCCATTTATTATATCTCTTGTTGACACAATAACGGTCACAGTAGGGATTCTTGTATAATAGATGATTGGGTAGATGTTGTCATGCAATGAACTGAACAAAATGATATTTTGTTGTTGTTTCAAATGTGATCCATTTTTTTCTGAGTTTCAATTTATTCCCTAAGCTGAGAAACAGAATCCCAGAGCCATACTAACACATTCCACGTTTAAATCTAACATTTGGTAGTGCAGCCAAATTGCTAAGCTAGATCAATTTGTGATGCCCTGAGAAAATGTGCTTGCGGTAGTTTAAAGACCAAAATTTGAACTGTGCTGACACAGCTAAGGCAATTTACTCTTAAGGTGTAACTGGGCTTGCATTTGGTCTCCCTCTGGGATACTTGTACCATCTTTAAATTCAACAGTGTCAAAGAAAATTTTGGATGAAACTATTTGGATCAATGACAACAGGTAGATAAACCTTTGCTAGTTTTCCCTTTTTAAAATATGGTAGACAGCAATGCTTCCTCTATATTTATTGACACCAGGGAGATGAGAAGAGAATTCACAAGTATATAATTTCTTGTTAGCAACTCATCTATAAATCTCTGTAACCACATTAATCAGCACTTTGTATTTTTATGTCCTATGTATACCTGAAATCTAAATCCTCTTCACACCAACCATGACAGCCAGAGCTGTGCTGGGAATAGATCAATGCAGGCAAGTTAGTGATGTTCCCAACTTTGGAAACTACCAATCACATGGATTTTTCTTTAGGTTGGTGTCTTCTTGAATGGACAGAACCCATCACATGTGTTAGAATTGCTAAGCTCTTTGCATTACTGTGCATTGTGCTTAATGTCTGCTTCCCAAGAATCATTCTAATAGAATTTAAACCCACACATAGCTCCTTAGTCTTTAAGATATCGTATCCCAGTTTCTAATCTCACCACACTGGCTTTTGGTCCTGGGGTCCTCTCTTGCCCTGTTCATGAGGTCTGACATTTATTCATACAATATAAAAACAGGGGAGACTAAGGGAAATTTTATAAGCAAACTTTGATTTTTGATTTTAGGAACTACTTTAATGGAAAAAGAAGAAGAAGGAGGAGGAGGAGGAGGAGGAGGGGGAGGAGGAGGAAGAGGAGGAGGAGGAAGAGGAGGAGGAGGAAGAGGAGGAGAAGGGGGAGGAGGGGGAGGAGGAAGGAGAGGGGAGGAGGAAGAGGAGGAGGGGAAGAGTTATTCAAATCATCTGGGAGGATATGGATTGAACACCAGAGAGTTCCTGAATAGAATCATTATGGAAGTGGAAAAACTCTAAAGTGAGCACTGAGACTGATCCGTAGAGTTAAGACATTTTACAGTTAGTGTCTGATTGTAAGCATTTTTTATTTTATGGTATGTCTCTTACCTTAACTTCCACATGTGCCATCAGTACTGCAAAATTGGTTAGGTGGTTACAAGAGCATGTCGTATGTGTCTTATTTGTTGTCAGGAGCCGGCAGCCTTGAGTTGACCAATAACCTGTCATTGTGCGCTTGGAATAGCTCCAAAATGAACAGTTGGGGTTGAAATTTTCCTCGGACTGCTACAGGGTAAAAATAAAATCAATAAAGCCAATAACTACTTTATGATCACATAAATTAGGCAGACATTTTCTTTACATCAACACAACTTCATACTCTATTACAATTCTTGTGGAGATGTCTGCCAGTGTTTTCCTATGAAATTTGTTGTTATCTATTACCCCTGACTAGGGGTGAGTTTAATTTTCCAAATATTAATATTTAAGGAATAATAATACCAGTATTTCAGAATCACATCAATTCATTTCAAAGTAAAGTACATTGCAGAGTAAAAATAACTGCTCTTATCAACTTCCAAAAGGCAGATGGTTTTTAGAAATCTTTGTTAAATTTACAATGCAATCTTAATATAACAAAATTATATCTACACATAAAGATATAATTACTTATAATATCCTATGTGAAACCATGTCCAGTTCAACTGAATATATTGCTAGCTCTTTGTAATATGGAGAAGCATTTATATATCTATCTATGAATATTTTATCATAAGCAATCTACATATTCAAGAAATATTCTCCTTTCTTATTTCAGAAAAAATTACCACTACCATATAATAGGCTTTGAATTGCTACATATCAAATAATAATAAAATTTTAAAAAATTAATACACTTTGTGTTCTATATTTGTGGACAACTAAACTTAAGAAGCCATTTTCTTACCTTAATATGTTTAACAGTGAATACGACAGGATCAGCCAAATAAACCTTATTACTGAATTCTTTGTTTATTGCTGCTGTAATGACGGGCGAATTGACAATAACCGAATGATTGGTGGACATAGCTTCTGTTCCCAACTTCATGCTGGCATTCTCCGTGGACAAATAAGGACCCAAGTTGTTATATAAAACAAAGGCCACTCTGATCTCTCCTAAAATAAATGCAAATGTGAATTATAAATTGAGGAGAAACTCTGATTACTTTCTGTATGTTCTACTTAAATTAGTTATAATTAGATTGTAATCAAATCTGTATAATATATACTCACAACAACTTAAGAATTCATTTTAACCAAAGTGCCAAGTCATTCATTGGGAGAGGAAAATCAAAACATGCTGAAAGAACTGCCTATAAGTATTAAAAGAAATGAACCTCAATACCTATCTCACTACACACTCAAAGCTTAATTCAAGATGGATCACATACATACACATAAAAAGTAGAACATAAAACTTTCAGAACAAAATATAGAATATCTTTGTAATCTTGGGGAATGCAGACATGACTTGGTTAGGAACCCAAAAACACTAATCATAAGGGGAAAATGGTAAATTGATTTTTGTCAAAATTGAAATTTTATGTCTATCAAAATATAGCATTAAGAAAATGAATAGGCAAGCCACAGACAAGAAAAAAGAGTATGACTCATGAATACATAAAGCATGTCTGTATCAACAGCAAAAGAATAAATGCCACACTAAAATGGCAAAATATAAACAGAAACTTTAGAAAAAATAATATATGATAGGCTAAGCAACATGAAAAATTATCAACATCATTATTAATGAGGAAAGTAACTAAAACCACATCAAGATACCCTTTCATACCTACTAGCATCTCTAAAATGAAAAAAGACTGCCCACACTAATGTGGATAAGGATGGGGAACAATTGGAACTCTTGTGTACTGCACACGGCTGGAAGAAGTTTAAAGTCATTCAACTATTTACGGATAAGGATGGGGAACAACTGGAACTCTTGTGTACTGCACACGGCTGGAGGCTGGAAGAAGTTTAAAGTCATTCAACTATTTAGACAAACATTTGGCAGGATGTTTTATAAATACATATCTACCCTTCCTAGGTAAGTGAAAACATAAATTCATAAAACAAACAAACAAACATGTATAAGAATGTTGATAGCATCTTTATTCATAAAAGCACCAAACTGGAAACAACTAAAAACCTATCAAAATGAGAATAAATTATAGTATATTAACACAATGGAATATACTATGCATCAATAAAGGACAAACTACTGACACATGGAGCATCATGACTGAATCCCAAAAATACTGAGTGAGAGAATGCCGACAGGAAAGAGTCCACGGTGTGTGACTCAGTTATAGAAAAGCTCGGAACAGGCAAAAGTTGTCTATACAAATAGTAATGAAAAGAAAGTAGTTTCATCAGGTGGGGCAGAGGGTGAGCAGAACGGAAAGAGGCACCAGGGAATTTTCTGGGTAATAGAAGAGAATCGTATCTTATATTTCAGAGGATAAGTACAACTGTCAAATTCATCTAGCTATACACTTAAGGTTATGTGAATTATATTACATGTAAGTTATATCTCAATTGCAATAAAACACAAATATAAAGATTCAAAATTTTTATCTGTTTTAAAACTCAATTATGTTCTATTAAGGTGACTGTTTCCATTCGTCCTTCCACCTTATGTTTTCCCTATGACAATCCTCTGTAAAAGTAACCATCTTTTATTTTTTTTTCCATATTTCCTTTCTTAAAAGAAGTCTTCTATTATGAACTCATATTGGTCCAACAAGAGTCAGATATTGCCTTGACTACTAATGTTTTTAAGAAAAGGAAATATTGTAATTTATGACATCTTGGCTGAATCTTGAGAGCACTATGCTAAGTGAAATAAGTCAAACAGAGAAGGAATACTGTATGACCTTACTTACATGCAAAGTCTTAGGAAAAAAACAACCCATAGAACTGAAAGGTGGTTCCCAGAGGTGGGTGGTGGGGAAGAGAATAGAAGGGTGGGTAAAGGGGAGCAAAAGGTACAGTACGTGACTGTGGTTAATAACACTGTCTTGCCTATTCTGGAAGTTGCTAAGAGTAAATTTTGAAAGTTCTCAAAAAAAAACCAAAAACAACCAAACAAATTGTAACTGTGTGTTGATAGATGTTAATAAGATTTACTGTACTGTTCATTTTGCAATATATACAAATATCAAATCATTATGTTGTACACCTGAAACTAGTATAGTGTTATATGCCAATTATATCTCAATAAAAATAAAGAATTGAGACTAGACTGTCTGGATCACAGAGTGCATGCTGAAGACAGGTGTGAAGTGGTGCACATGAGGCAGGAAGGAAGTGGACCAGGTAATAACATGCGATAGCATTGGTTAAGTCATTTGATGTCATTCTAAATACAACTGGCAAGATTTATGTTGGGGGAAGAACCTCTGTCAACAGAATTTATGTTTGGGAGCAAGAGTAAAGGAGGGAAACCAGTTAGGAAGCTAATACAGGAATCTGATTTTGTTTTATATGAGATCTTATTGCTGCCTCAAATTTCACATTGTCAAATTAGCAACGTAATAAAGATTTATAACTTCAGTCTTATAAGATTTCCAACACTTACAAAAAAATTTTGTTCGGCTAACAACAAACATAATTTGTTTTTCTTGAAATTATTTAATATGCTATTTAAAAAACAAAACAAAAATCTATTCACCCTTCAATCTGAAACCTTAGCTTTGAGTTAATCACTACGACTTGAAGTTATCTTACGATCACTAACAGGTTAAAGCAGCGGTTCTCAACCTGTGGGTCACAACCCCTTTGGGGGTCGAACGATCCTTTCACAGCGGTCCCCTACGACCATCGGAAAACACATATATAATTACATATTGTTTTTGTGATTAATCACTATGCTTTAATTATGTTCAATTTGTAACAATGAAAATACATCCTGCATATCAGATATTTACATTACGATTTATAACAATAGCAAAATTACAGTTATAAAGTAGCAACGAAAATAATTTTATGGTTGGGGGTCACCACAACATGTGAGGAACAGTATTAAAGTGTCGCGGCATTAGGAAGGTTGAGAGCCACTGGGTTAAAGGTTCTCACTTCCTTGGACAAAAATAAATTTTTTACATTAATATTAGGGAGGCTTGATATATACTTTCTTTATGAGATTACTTATTTAATTTTAATCAAATTAAAATTATTCAGTGAACTTATCCCTGTTCACTACACTGACCTCTTTTACCAGTTCTATTCCCCAAAAGCACCTCCTCACAGGAAATTTTTGTGAAAGAAAAAAACATAGACACACCCTCAAAATAAGTGACTAAGGAAAAAACATGTAATTTTAAAATTACAAGTAAAACTTTTATTACAAGTTTTAGAAAGCCAATCTGACAAGTTAGTAAGTTAGTCCTTTCAAGGAAAAAAAAATTATCTGGATTTGTTGTTCATTAATTTCCCTCATATTCAACTTTCTGACATTTTACTGATACTGAAAAGTAACAAAACACTTTCCAAATCTGAGAATTTTGTAGAACAAATATAATTTCTCTATTGTTGGTGCAGGCGACAGAAAGAGGAGAAGGAGCAGGAGAATGAGTACAGTGGATGAGAGGAGACAGACAGCAGATGAGAAGGAGATCAGGTTTTGAACAGCACATTTAAAATTCCAAGATAAGAAACAATGCATCGATAAGTTTAATTCTATCAAGCTTAACAAACAGACTCTAACCTACCATTTCGTCCATTTTGCTTTAAAGTATTTGCAGAAAGCTGGATGGTGCTTCCATGACCCATGGATTCTGGAAATTTTAAGTCTTCCAAGTTTCCTTCTGTGCTCAGCCTTGCAACTTCCAACTCTGTCAATGGCAAAGAGATATCAGCGCTTACTGAGAAATACTGCAAAGCTAAGGTGTTTTTCTAGATCACTGAAATAGTTCTGAAGTCAAAACACTGGAATTAATGTTCTATTTGTCTTGCTTTATAGTAGTTCAACCTTTTATTTAGAAAGTATGATTTTATAATCATATGGTTTCTTCAAAATAAAGCAAATAAACAATGAATGTCAGGTAAATAAGAATTCAGATGTATCAGTTATAAAGTAAAAAAAGAATTAAAATTCCAGCCCAAATCCTTATACTTTGTCATTGACTTAAAGTTTATTTTTAAAATATTATTTTATGAATTAGATATAAATACCTTTATAATCTAGAGCTGCAGTATTATATCAATATTGATCTATATTTAAATCTAATAAGTTTGAAACAGCTTTATCAATTCTTCTGAAATAAAACTATCAGCTACATCCCTATACACAATAAAAATAGATTTATACTCCTATGAGCCAATAATGCAGTTATCAGAAATTGTTTTAACCTCTAACTTAATGATTTCTTTACAGTATGTAATTCAGAGATACTCCTATTATGACTGGAGTAACCCATAAGCCCTGTCTTAGGAGGACAAATTTTTAAATAGTATTATATATATCCATATAGATACATATACAGTGGGGCCTTGACTTACGAGTTTAATTCGTTCTGAGACTGAGCTCATTAAGGAGCTCATTAACTCAAATTACTCTATCAACTCAATGCAAAAAATCAGCCAAGAGGCAGCTGGTATCTCAAAAAACTCATTAGTCGGGACACTTGTAAGTCAAGGCCCCACTGTATATGTGTGTGTGTGTGTGTGTGTGTGTGTGTGTATGTACACACACACAAACAAATATACATTAAAAAAAATTAAATGAACCTCACTGTAATGATCCGAGGCTAATATACCCAATACTGGAATGTCCAAAGGAGGAAAACACACATGATTATGAGGGCCCTTTCAGCCAATGACGGATGATATCCTTTTAATGACAGAAGAAGAACAGAGTACTATTCATAATATCTAGGCCACCACCGATACTTTTTTCTTTTCCCTCTTCTGCTGTCCAAGGGTCTCTGGCCCTTCTGTACAACAAAGGCCACTTACGAATATTGTCTGTGTTCTCCCTGACGATGTCAGTCTTCAAAAGGTTATCAGCCAGCACAAAAGCACTTTCCTCCACGGTGTCAAGCAACATGGTGGCTGCACGGAGCTGATCACTTGTCGTCAGGTCTCTCCACGCGTTCAAGGCTTGTGGCTGAAGGAGGTTGTTAACTGTCTCGACCATTGCCTACAAGAGGATGAACACAATGACAGAGGTCTCCAGTGAACCCGCAGAGCTGTCAGAAATCCAGGCGTACATGTTGCCCGGCAAGCAAGGATCAGAGGTGTGCGCGAGTTCAGTACTGTCCCAGCCTCCCCTGTGACATGCCGCAGCAGAAGTGTTCATTATTTTGTTCTGTAAAATCCCGAGCTGACTTTGCAAGGCAAGAGGAAAACCTGCTTTTGCTTTGAAAGACAACAGGTACAGCCATGCTGATTTCTTAGAATCAACAGCAAGGCTTCAAGAAGACTTTAAATTATTTGGCTGGTGAACTGTTGGCAAGTAATTTAAACCAACACCTGTATCACACCTGCCACAGAAAACAATTTTTTTCCTATACATCACCATACAGCTATGCTGAACACGATAGAAATTAAGAGGATGCCTATAGATAGGCCAATAAAAGAATGTGTCGCCTATAGGTCGAGGCCTCACTGAGCAAATGAATGTTTTTCTTCGTCAGCTGGTAAAATGTCAGAATGGGGAAAATATCAAAGTATACATGCTCCCAGGGGCTTTGGCTCTGTTATGTGTGGAGAGAAACCTTCACACTGTTTACTGTTGGGCAGGGGAATAAACAGTGGGAACTTGCTCTGTAGGGCCCTCAGGTGTTTTTCCTTAAAAAAAAGCAGCGGTAGGTACACTCACACATAGAGATAAAGCACCACAATTCACATGGCTTTATCCAAAAGAATCACCTCTGTAGTTATAACTTGTATATTTCCTGTGGTTAGCTTTATGCTCTAGGTTACAAAGAAAAAACAGTCCTCCCAGTAAGATCTGCTTAAGGTTTCATTCAAACATAGAGGATTGCAAAATAGAAAAATACAACATCTGAAGTTTGAAAGTGATCCTCCCTGAACCCTTTGATTATGAAATACCCATCTTTTCCAGAAATAAAAGTTGAATAAACAGCCAACACAAGCACTTGCTAGGCAGCACACAGGAGCTTTAAAACAGGCCTCCCATTATTGACAAGTTCGTAGCTGGGCTGGGGGAGCAGACACTGCACACACTGCCTTGTGTTCTGCTGGCTGGGGCTTTCATAGTAACCAAGGAACAACTGTTAAACATTCAGCTTCATAATGAAACACCTTGGCTGCCAATTAACACCAGCTTCAAAAACTCATTTGCCTTTTGATAAAAGTTGCTTTTCTTGATACTCTTCCCAGCTATTCCAAGTTCTGGCCAAAAATCTATTTCACTAGACTTTTATGTAATAGTCCTACGTGAGTACTATGCATCATTAAAAACATTTTTTTTCTCATGAGTCTAAGGAAGGGGAATTTTCACCTAGTGTGCTTAGCTCTGTCATTTGTTCTGAGTTTAAAACACGACCTGGAAGCCAGACAAAAGCATCTCCAGATCACAACAAAATGACCTGCTTTCCAGGAAGTTCTCTAACGCCAACGCCAACAGGATATGCCAGATAGGTGGTGCCAGATAGAACAGAAACAAACAAAAAGAAGTTCAGTGTTTTCTAAAGCCAAATAGAGAACACCATTCTGTAGTGCAAGGAAGTATTCTCTCTGGGATTGGATGATCCTCTGAATTAATCAGAAATGCTCTGAAAATCCCACGTGCCACAGGGGTTACGCCTGTTCTTTCAGGAGCAGCCATTTTAACATTAGTCAATAATCCTACACTGATTCATTTTAACCTCACTCTAGGGAATATTTCTCTGAAGATAATAATATTTCTATTCTGGTCTTTATTACTTTTCATTTTTTAAATTAAAAAACTAAAGAAAAGGAAACAACTCTGATCAACTCGGAGAATGGGAGGGTATAGCAACATACGTATTAAATAGTTTGTAATGTGTGTTCAAAAGGCTTGAACAAACTAACCTGTTTTCTGCTAGTGATACCCCTGAAGTAAGTAAATCTTAATGATAACATTATAATTAACACAACTTGTTTAAGCTTTCCAACGATTGCTGACATGTTTCGGTTACCAATTTAATGAAGGCCAATTAAATAGTCACAACTCACCAATGGTAAAAGGATATCTATACTTTGTTTTCCTATATATTTATAAATTTTTACCCACAAATGATGATCTCTGATCAAAAAACATTTTGTCAAACTAGTCATTTACATAGCTTTTATAAGGTGAACACCATCTCTTTAAAAACAGGTTAATTTTAATTTTATTTGGTTACGAAGAAATGAGTCTAACTCAGTAGTTCTCAACCTTCTGGCCCTTTAAATACAGTTCCTCATGTTGTGGCCCAACCATAAAATTATTTTCATTGCTACTTCATAACTGTAATGTTGCTACTGTTATGAATCATAATGTAAATATCTGTTATGCAGGATGGTGTTAGGCAACCCCTGTGAAAGGGTCGTTTGACCGCCAAAGGGGTCGGGACCCACAGGTTGAGAACCGCTGGTGTAACTATATGTAGAACCAAGTTGAATGGGAAATGTTCAAGAAATTTAAAGTGAGGTACTGGGACATCATTTTAATGTTTAACAACTCTCACTGATTTCTCTTTGCTGTTATAAATATTTTTCTGACCTAAAATTTACATTCTAAATTTGGAAGAAAATAAGATCAGTCCAGAATTTATCTTAAATAAATGTATATTCTCAATGCGTTGTATGAAGGAAAAAGTCACCTAATGGTTTGGACACTTACAGATTGAAATTACCTAAAATTTTGAGAAATAAATTTAATTAACAATGTCCTTGACGGAAACTAAATACTAACTCACTTTATTATCTCTTTAAATATTTTTTTTTTACTTATTGCTTTTAGAGACAAACAGAGGAAGGAGCAACCAGCAGTGTATGAGAGTTCTAATTTCACCATATCCTCATCCCCCAGGTATTATTATCTATCTTCTTTTGTTGCTTGTACTTTTTGTGTCATGACCAAGAGACCATTGCCTAATCTTAGATGATTCCTGTATGTGCCCTTATGGGGAATCAAACCCGCAACCTTGACATACTAGGACGATGCTCTAAACAACTGAATTACTGGGCCAGGGCTCATTATCTTTTAAAAATTACCAGCAAGTAAATAGGAAATGGATGCTGGAAATTTGCATTCTACTTCTGCCACCAAAGTCAGTGTGCCTTCAGACAAATTTATGTTTTTTAACAAATCAACGAAGTGTCAACTACACAAGAAAATTAGTTTAATTATGTTTCAATATGAGGCTAGACAGGGACATCCACTATTAGGTTATACTATTCTCATGATATGGTTTATTGACCAGACTCTAAAGTGACTTTTGACTATTTCTAAAAATCAAATATAAATTAGAAAGTGTCAAAAATCACTTCAATTCAAACCAAAATCATGGACATACCATATTCTTCTGGGCATATTTTTGCTTTACACAACATTATTGGACCTCTTATAATTATTCAGATCTTAAGCAAATCATTTGACTAGTTTTACTCATAGAATTGTATGCTTGTTAACTCATTGTAAACTATATAACTACACTGTACTGTACATATTTCAAAAGGGGGAGGACTTAGTTGTTATAACTACTGTGAAACATTTGGGGAGAAAACTAGCTATATATCTTCCCCAAAACATCTGTTGTCATTATTTAAAGAGCATGTGCTTGTGAAATAGGCTGGGAGGCCTTTGCAAAAATACATACAAGGATCTATGGTGAGAAACGTCAATGTTACTTCCTACACAGGAGAGCAGTACATCTCACACGAGGCACGCAGGATCACCTGGGGACTCACCTATCCCTGGCCCTTCACTTGAAAACCAACAAACTTAAGATTCAAATCAAATGAATGCCTTGTGAAAAGATACATAACTTTACCATTGTTGAATTTTTCTAAAGACGAGCTTTTTAATTATAAGCTCATCCACGTTTTAGCTCAAGTTACCAACTGCTCAATAAGGCCTTCCATTATCGGTATATCTAAAAAGAATCCCCCCACTATTAAATCTATCACTTGGTTTGTTTTCTCTGTACCATGTATTATTACCTGAAGTATCATATATTTATTTTTTTAAATATAGTTTATTGATTTTTTACAGAGAGGAGGGGAGAGGGATAGAGAGTTAGAAACATCGATGAGAGAGAAACATCGATCAGCTGCCTCCTGCACACTCCCTACTGAGGATGGGCCTGCAACCAAGTTACATGCCCTTGACCGAAATCGAACCTGGGACACTTGAGTCCGCAGATCGATGCTCTATCCACTGAGCCAAACCGGTTAGGGCAAGTGCCATATATTTATTTATCAAATGACTATTTTAGATCTGTCCTTCAAGAAAAGTCTGGCTTTTGACTACCAGTGGTCAGCAAACTCATTAGTCAACAGGGCCAAATATCAACAGTACAACGACAGAAATTTCTTTTGAGAGCCAAATTTTTTAAACTTAAACTATATAGGTAGGTACATTGTTATTAACTTAATTAGGGTGCTCCTAAGGCTTAGGAAGAGCCACACTCCACGGGCCAAAGAGCTGCATGTGGCTCACGAGCCACAGTTTGACAACCACGGGACTGGACCGTGATGTTCACAGGGAAGAGAACTTGTTCATTGTGTTTTCCCCGGGGAAATTTTAGTGCCTGGAGATATTTTGGATATTCAATAAATGCCCACTAAACAGATAACCTACATTTCCTATCAAATCATTAATGGCCTTATATACAATAGGAAAATTGAAAGCATTCTCTTCTAGATCTGGAACTTTTTGCCAGGTCTCCTAAGAAGTCTTCTGAAAGACTAAAGTGCTCAGATACACTGCCATAGTATGGGAAGATAGCAAGCTAATTAGAGGGAATTAAGGAGACAACCAGAGTTCAAGGAGAAAAGCAGAACCACACATTACCATCTGCATAACAATATATTCCAAAATGTTAAGTGTATCAAAGCTCACTTTCAATATAATTCAATGAGGTTTTATTAAATATGTAAGATAGGTATGCTATGCAAAGAACTAGGGAATTCACCCTTTGATGAAAAGAGATGGAAAACATATAG